ATAAACGTGTATGCTAAATACAACTACCGGTAGTTGTATCCCACTTTAAGTACCATTGCACTTTTTTCCACTTCAGTTTTATAGCGATTGCGAATTGCAGTTCGCTGTTTATCAAATCGATACCTTGTACGCACCCGTCGATAAATGACGCCGTAATAATCCCACCATTGCGGTCAATACGACCGAGATGGTCGATCAAACGAGAGCATCATTCCAAGGCGCGATTCTGCGGTGCCGCCGAAAAAAGAAATCAAACCAAAGGACAGAGCGGGCCCAGGTGGACGAGGGCAACCGGCAAAGAGGGAGTCCCGGAGTATTATCTACGCGGCCAAGAAGAGAAGAGAGGGCCCTTCGTGTTCGCGGCCGCGAAATAACGTCAGTGGTTTGTGGTTTTTCATACGTGCAAGAAGTCACAATGGTTTATCCCGGAGCGATTCCTCTACGTAGCGCAGGACCAAATGCCTCTCCCTCTTCCTTTCTCTCCCTTTCCTTTCATTCTCTGTCTCCTCCATTCCTCTCTCTCTCTCTCACTCTCTTTCTCGAAGAGAGCTTCGTGGACGAGGCGATGGAAGAAAAGCAAGAAGAAGACGAACAAGAAGAAGAGGTGGCTTTTGTTCCCACCTCGAGCGAGCTCGACGCGGTCTGCCACTTTTTCACGTTTCCCCTTGCCTCATCCTTTCTATGCCTTTCTCTTTGTTTCACCTTCCCCGCCCTCATCTCTCCCTTTCACCACTTCCTCGGCTCTCTCTAGGTATATTCTCTTCCACGGCTGATGCCCTTTGTCTCGAGAAAACACGATTAGAAACCCTCGCAGTGCAATTTTGAGGCTGTTCCCGCTTCCGTAATAATGGCGCGTCTATTAGTCTCTTGAACAGCGAGGGATGATTTTAACGAATTCTTTGCTCCCGTTTTCTTTGTACCCTTTCCAGCTTTCTTGTCATAATCCTAGGGTTAATTTTACTTGAAATGGAAAGCATCTGTTATTTGGTCTCCGTTCCATAAGGTGCCAAATATTATATTTAATAATACATCAAATGTGCTTCAATATTTCTTTTCTAATAATTTCGTAAAAAATTAAAACAAATAATCACATGATAAAGTTGAAAGATAATTATATAAATTTTTTTATTAACATTTTTCATCGTATATATGCGGATAATTACAAAATTAAATATGCGACGCATCTAATGCGCTGAAGACAGGCAGCTCATTCTCCTTAGAGCGGCAGGCTTTATTAGCTGTCGGAAACAATGAAAACAAAAAATAGCCGATAATCACTCGTAGAATCTACCGGGATCAGGTCCTGATGGGTCGACAGAGGAAAGAAAATGCTGAGGAAACGACAGTCGGAAACAGAGGCTGATACTTTGTGGTCCATAAATAAGTTACTGGCAGATGGCGGTAGTACGCGTTTGTATTTTGAACGACAGCCAATATTTAACTCCGCCAATGGCAATCCATACGACAACGACGATGACTGGGACGTGCCGAAGAGCTGGAGGGCTGGTAAGTCGCGTGTTCCGTGACGGAAGGCGAAGGTCGGAACTAAAACTGTGCGAACGCGTGATCCCTCCGACTATTCGACAAGAAAGACCTTACTTGACACCTTCGATCACAAGATGACCGCTGACGGTCGGTGAGAGCCGCGATTCCTGGAAATCAGGAAAATCTGGACAACGATAAGTTACGAAAGAAAGTTTCAAATCCCCGCGTAGAAATATTACGCTTCCTTCATTCTATCGAACATGCTTTTCATAGATATCTCCCCGATTTAAGAGATTTATGGGGCGAAATAAGGAAGAACGATATGTCGCGTCCAAGAGAAAGGAACAAAAAGAGCTAATTACACTCGTTAGTAGATAACGACGATGATTGTTAGTTTGAGGTAATCGAAATATAAGCGGCGATAACAAGGATACGATTACTTAACTTAATGATGATAATTCGTTATAATTGAAGAGTCACGACAGTGTACGGCATCAATAATTGTTATCATGATTTATAACTTTCTCCGGCTTCTACATATATCGCGGTTTCGACAAACTGAGCGAATGCTTCCACGGGAGCCACAAGTTTTGGGTAATCGTTCCGAAACCAGGGCTTAAAAAACCGATGATATTTACGCTATCATTCATTCATACGCGAGTATTCATTCGACTAAATAATTATCTTATCAATAAGTAATTATACTGCCGTTTTTTTTCGCATTTCTTAATTCGAAAAAAACAAACATGAATGAACACAGATGTGAAATTCTATACGATAAATATAATTTCTAATTAAAAAGAAAAACACAAAAAGAACAAATTTAGCTAAATATACATATCGTTTCATGTCATAAAACTGTCAAATAGCTCAATTAGATTGATTACTTAGATAGAAAATAAATAAATAATCGATTATTAATTAATATATTTTTAAAAATATACTCAAAAAACTTTTCCATGTCGATTGTATTACGAGGATGTTAATTTCGTATACAAAAACGAACGGACGGTCGGCAGTCAGAAACATCTCTTTGGAGTAATAATTACATTTCTCGCTAATCATAGATTCCGAAAATGGGTTTCTGCGGCGACGCTAGATGATTCGTTTTGGGGACGCGAAACAATGTTTACTTCCTGGTGACTACGAAAGAACGGTAATCGCATTAGCGGTCGCGAACGGAGTAGCGCGTCCGCAAAGCATCTTTCGCCATTACTTGGACTTATACCGTAACAAATCCGTTCCGCGGGATCGGTTCTGTCACCAAATCATGCCGGCTTTGTTACGCTACTCCAAGCCGAGAGTCGAACAACCGGCTAACAAACGCGCGTAACCGCGTGCAATCGCCCCAAGATAATGCGCGGCGCCAAAAAAAGCTTATTAATATCCTGACTGGCAAAAATAGCGTTTTAACCGAATGATTCGCGACGGATCGTGCGTTTTCAAGAACACAAGTCAAGCTATACAAGAGTTAATTATGCTCGATATTTTTTGCTGGATCGCCTGAGTATCGATTCGTGTATCGGTATCTCGCCGTTAGTCGTATTAAGTATACGAAATTGAGATACTGAGAATACGACGATGTTCAAACCTTGAGAACTGAGATTCAAAAATTAATCGCGCGCTTGACAATTAGCGACATTTTCGCCAGCTCGAATCCCGAATAGAAAAAAATCCGCGGGTTATTCCTTAATTAGAAGACACCGACGAATACGCGAGGCGATTGAACGAGATAAAGCTGCTGGAAGTTGCGGGAGCTAAGTGGCCCCTATTCCGCTACCGACAGCTCCCAAGGGTTCCTAATTGTCAAGATCGAGCACCATAATTACACCCTCCGCGATTCGTTCTCGTGTCTCGAAGCTCTCCCGGTTAACAAAAGTGGGCGAATTCTCCGCGTGGATGCCAAAGCAACGTCGAGCAGGTAGGCAACTATAGTTCGAAAATTAAGAAGTCTGGCAGCTGATAAGAAACCATAAAAAACCACTTTCCGCAAGGGAACCTATGACCCTTCTCACGTGTTTCTCCTTGTTATGTTACAAATACGCGAGGAATCCATTAGGGACCAAACTAAGATAGATGCTATCATTTACGATTTAATCGTAAACGGTCAAAGGCTCTGAAAATGAATTAGCCAAGATAAACAATTAAATTTAAAACTACCAAGAGATAATATTCAAAGCTATATAATATTCGATAAATAAAAATAAAAGAAAAATACAATGTCATAAGTCCTGAGTCTCAAAAAGGAATAAGTATTACAGTACTGATATACAATTCTAAAAAAAATTAATAAAATAGTAAAATATATAAGCTACTCAATTATTTATCTTAATTTTGCATGCAATCGATATTCCAAAGCTCTGTTAATAATTTATTATAAAAGTAACGTATTTAAATTTTACAGCACTGGAATTTTGTGCAATTCGACGGTGGCAAAATCATATTACGTAGTGCTTGAAGTGAGTTTATTGACATATTAGAAAGATATCATGTACAGCAGACAATTTCCGAGAAATTAAGAGCTCGACAAATATAATAAGTATATAGAATATTTCATTGCCGTATTTTTAACTGATTATCAGTCAATTATTGGACATTTATCACGATGATGTTATTTTCACTTCCTTCTACATTTCTCTTTTCTATATAATTAAAGATATAATTTTAATATAAAATAAATACAGCCGGGAGATAAAATAAAAATACATATATATTTATTACGCAAATTAGATATGCGTCGTCATTAGACTAATTGTCTCATCGTGAGTAAAACTGTGATTAGATTATTAAGAATTTTAATTACGTTTCTATTATATAATCTACTTTACGACACTCCCATGGCACGCACTCGCACTTTCTTGTCCAGTTCTCGTATTTGTTTTTCGTCTGTCATTCGAGATGTCGATAAAGTAATGGAGTACGAATTCCAAAGCTACCGCGTGACGCCTACTCGCGGCCGCGTGTTTCATAACTTTCCTCAAACTGCTCTAGCGATTTGCATCCTGTTACATTATAACTCGTTATGATTTCGTCAACTAGCTACCGGTGCAATTGACGACAGCTGTGTTCGAACAAAGCGCGTTATGTTCGCGAATCAATCTCAATTGCGTCAGAACATTCCAAGTTTTCGTCAAAAAATATTTAACTATAATAAACACATTGACATATCGCTAATTCGCTATGGAAATAATATTCTATCGGAAAACAATTGTATTCATGTCACGATTCCTTTATGAAAGTCATTAAAAATTCATTAAAGTTTCAAATGATGATTGTTAAGTCGATAATAAAAAATTAATGATGATAAATTGAAATTAACCGCAGGCGTTCATGGTCAAATGATTTGAAGAGAACTTAAAGAGAAATCTAATTAAACAGATCGGACAGCCAATTTTTCATGGAACGTATTTTCATTAAGAAATCGTCACACGATGCCGTTGCATATCTATAGCGAAGTCAGCTTGCTCGGATTATCAATCATTTATGTCGTGCCATTGCGCGAATGTTTGACTCACCAGTATAACACCAGGCCGGCCAGACGACAGGGCTCTCGGTGTCCAACTCCCTCATTCTCTCAGCGACCCGCGGACATCTCCACTCCGTTCTTTCCGACGTGGCGGTAAGAATGTCCAGTTTGGCTACTTATAGCGGCAACCTCCAACCAAGTGAAGAATCTCCGGTTCTGCCTGTCGAAAGTCACAGGAGAACCTCCGTTCAATAATCTTCAGATATAACCACCTGTTGCTGTACAACAGAGCTATGCGTTTCAGATATAGGCACACCGGGGATCTCGTTTCGTTGTTCGCTCGACAAAGATTGGGAGGCAGATCTCTGCGAGAATGCAGGCCGTCTTATTTGTATTCCACGCCATACACGTGCAACTGAAGAATTCCGAGAGGCAGATAAGTCTCTCGGATGAGTCTTCGCCGTCACCGCGCTCCGGTTCTGCCGCTGATAAGGCACGGAGGACGCGTCATCGACTCGCCTGGCCTTCGTTTCACTTCCTTTCCGCCGCAGTGCCGTCTTCTCTTGCTCGTCGTGTCGTTTTCCTACAACAGTAACACGCTCCCCTGTGAGTCGTCCAAGATTTCGCTGTCGTATATAACAGCGAGGGACACGCGTGTTACACGAAAACGTGTCTGGGACACTCGACTCGAATCGCGCACTAAATGTCACGAAAATGTCAATGAGGTGCCGCGCCGACGTTTGACACCTTCACCGAATGTCCCCTCTTTCCTCAGCGCACCTTGCCACTCGTCGAATAATAGCTGTCTTCGGGGATCGCGCGGATCACAATCGAGTCTCGAACTATCACCAGATGACTCTTCCTCTTACCCTTTTCACTCGAAGCGCAATCATTAGACCATTCATGCAAATATTAAAAATTGTTAGTACGGTATGGTACTACGACACCAGATCTTCAATCTTGGCAGACTTGAAAGTCAGTCTTAACGAACAAGCTCAATCACGACAGGCTTGTCTTTGATCATCGCGACAATTTTCACCAACGTAAGATCTCGTTTCCTACTGATTGAGTCGAAACAGATTCAACAGATTTCCCGCATCCAAATATTTCAACAGATCACACGTTCGTCGCAAAAAGCTTCGACTATCGATGTCTAGAGAACGCGCGTTCCATTGGGAATATCACTCCCTATACACCTTTACGGTGACCGCGGGTTCACTTTCTTCACCCTACTGTAGACCGGCGATCGACCGGCCCCAGTAATCGCAGAGTGTACTCTCGACCCGGTCGATCCTTGCCTTCAGTCCGAGAGGATCGTTGACGTACCGCGGGATGACACGACACTACAACACGGCACTGCTGCGTGAGGTGATGTCGAAGAGGATAGACGGATAGACAGAAACAGTAGGGGGAGAAAGAGAGAAAGAGAGAGAGAGAGAGACGGGGAGACACATAGGTAGGGGGATAGATAGGGGGAAAAAGACGGCGGAAGAGATAGCCAGCGGGGAAAGGAAGAGAAAAGGGAAAGAGGGAGAGAGAGAGAGAGAGAGGGAAAAAGAAAAGAAGAGAAAGAAAGAGAGGGAAGAACCTGACCACCGGACACACTACTCTGCCTTGGTAGGCACACACACAAGTAAGCGGAGTGGCACTTAGGTTGGTGCACCTGCCGCGAGAGTCCGCGTCGTAATGGGAGCGGGGCAACGGGCGGCAGGTAGGCAGGCCCACCGCTCGTCAACGGAGAAGGGGAGTCAGTCACATGGCGAGTGCCCCGCGAAGGAGGTGGTAGTCGGAGTAGATGGTGGTGGATGAACGAAAGTGGTGATGCTGGCGGCGGCGACGGCGACGGCGGTGGCAGTAGTGGTGGTTGTGGTGGTGGTGATGATGATAGTGGTGGTGGCGAGTCGTGGTGGAACGCAGGAGTAGGAATCAACGGAGTCCTCGGGAAGAGAGCCGACTTGGCTACCGGTGTAACCTGTCGCGACGATCAGTGTCGGCGCAGTGATTCCACTCGGGAAAAATTCGAGATAATTTTCTTGCATCGCAGAACGATGGCGACGAGATAAATACGAAAACGAGAGGGGTAGCGTATAAGAGTTTTAAAAGATCGCGAGATGCACAGCTTCGATGATAATCATTGAGGATAAAAGGGATACACGAGAGGACGTTTATGTTCAGGCAAAATAAATGAAATCTGATCTGGAAATCAAATATGTATGAAAATCCAACTTAGTTACAAATCAAAGAGACGTATACTATTTCCTCGATAAAGCTAGGAACATGAAATAAATCAAATGGAAAATCGCGGCGAAATTAGCGACTTATAAAGAAATGAAGTGATTGATGATTAAAAACGCCGGTAAAAGAGAATTATGCGATCATATAGAAAACCGTAGTGATCGAAAATAAATCGTCAGAGACAGAAAAGAAATCGTCCATTATTTCTCATTGTTTACAGCGAAGAAACATTTTTAGCTAATATTATTACTAGGAGCCGCGCCTGTTTTTACTTACACGCAGAAAAATGTAAAGTGTAATATGCGTTAGAATTCTAGTAAATTTTACGGAATTGGCAAGTCCATGTAGAGACAGGCGCCTACTTATGTAAAATTTATTTTACTTTTCTGGTAAATAAACGATCGTCGTATAGCCATACTGTGTAAGGTACTTCTTATTATACATTTCATAAAGAAAAATTTTATGCTATTGCAATTTGTTACTATTTTTTAATCCATAAATTACCGTACTTCTCAATAGAATTTTTATCGTAGTACTCTTTACTTCAACGCTGACAAATAATTTTACGCGCAATAAAAAATACAAGTGTCTATAGAGTCTTGAAAGTTCTTGTTTACGATCCTGTGAATAGCATGATTTACTTTACCGTAAGATAATAATCATTTGAATAGATTTGTTACAATTATAATGTAACTACTTACTTCTTACACCTCCGGTATTTTCCAAGCGAATAAAGTTTATCATAAGTTCGGCAAAAACAGCAAGAATATTTTTATTAAACTTGTAGAATCATTCATTTTTTTTCTATGTAAAGCTACCGATTACGGTTAATCGGGATATGTTCTCTGCCTGGATTCCATATTTGGATCCACTTACGAGACTGAACGGAAGAACAACCATTGAATTCCAGGCGCTTCCTGATATCGTTGGTAGAACTCGACGATAGATTGTCCCACGAAGCTTCTTCCAAGCACGTCGTTCAATGTCCAGCTATCAATGCTACGTCTTTCTTCGCGTCTGGCTCGTATAGCAGTCTAGGTGGACACTACGTCAAGGTGAAACAAGACGCGAACATCTCGTTTGCTTGTATCCTATAGTTCTTCGAGTATCGCTCGTAAAACAATATCATCGGCCAGCTCTTGGATAACGCGATCTTATTTTCGTAACAGTTCTACTGCCGTGTCTTTTCGCAATTCTTATTAAACGCGTACTTCAAAAAGGTGAGAATAATGCATTATACATTTATAAATGACAATCGCTGACATATTTTCTGTATCGTTTCACAGAAATAAAGTATCTAATTAAAATTTTAAATAACATTACGTTGAATCATACAAAAGAGAATATATGTATATACATAAACATACTTTTTTTTATCCAAGTTTTCTCAATTTGCATTATAAGCAATCTTATTAAAGCTGTATCTGAATTTACTCGTAACTTTAATTATATTTTGCGTCAGATTTTCCCAACATCGCGAAATATCGCCATGTCGTTCGTACTCGTCTTTGCCCATTGACATACCTTGTAAAACATTCATAAATTTCCCAGGACACTAATAGTCGGACAAACAGCTCTAATAGAAATTCTCTCGCCGTTCTAATAGTTACTTCTCGAGAAAAGTCAGATCCTATTCATCCATCTAAGTTAACAATAATTACGCAGCACCCCAGGGGAATCCTATAACACCGTGTCCAGAGCGAGGAACGTATTATCCCAGAGATTATTCTGGAAGCGTCGCCTTAGGTGTCCGGGCGTGTTCGGAATCCCGTGCCGCAGTGGGATACCTAACGTACGTTAGGGGCCGAGATGAGAGCTTGTTACGTTAACCATCATATTGTTTCGCGCGAGGGCGAGATGCTCTGCTTCGGCCGTAGCGCGGCGCGGCGAGTGCGTGGCGGGCGCAACGAGTAGTAGTTCGCCCCGACTTCGAGGTGTACCATCAAGGACGATATATCGCGTCCGATATATATCACTCGAGAGAGAGAAAGAGCACTTCCACTTCCACACACGTCGGGTTTATTATATGTGCGTATACACATCCGTACGTACGCACCGCCCGGAGGCTGCGCTCCGAGCTCCTCGTTTAGATATCCGCTCCGCGAGATTATTCGAGAACGAACGACGGCGAGCGAACCGCTCGTCGAAACGTCTCCCGATGGACGGTGCATTACATTGGTATTCTATCTGGCGTCGATCGCGCCGGGCTTCCGCAGCGTAGCGATTACCACCTCGGTCATTTTCTTTCCTAGGAAAACTATCGGCGATTAAACGGTCCATCGACCTCCTCCGCACCTTGCCGCGCGCGCGCGCGCGCAACGGGATGCATTAATCGTTCAACTGGATCGATACGACTCGTCCTTGTATGCCAGACTGGTGTCCATCATCCTACTCGTAGGAATTTAATTAGTACGCTCTCGCTATGTCATCCAACCGATTAAAAATCTCGCGACCGGTCGTACGTAAAGATATAAAGCAAGTACCATAAATGTTGTAAGTGACAATTTATCACATAAATATATTCAGAATTTAAATACCTGATTTCATAGAAATATTATCAAGATGTGATTTCAACTTGTACTTAAAAAATGTATGCTTGCGAATGTTTTCATAATTTATATTTACGTTATTAAAAACACAAGAAAAAATGTCTTACGTAAATTACTTGGATAAAATCATCACCGCATTTCCTCTTCCTTTCCGTTCATTATAATAGTAGTAACTTTATACTAGTAATAAAATGTTCTATATATTTATGTTGCTTTTCTTAATCACAAAATTATCTCGCAAACGTCGAATAATCAATTCGAATGTAACAATTAATATGCGTCATTCTTACGATTTATTGGAACAAATTGATACCGCGGGG